TTGCCAATCCCCGGCCACGGCTAGTTGCAGACCCATTTTTTGTCAGCCTCTTTCTGTCCCACCCGCGTGGCCACGCTGTTCAGCGTGTCTTTCAGACTGTCTTTCGAGACCTTAGGGAACCTATGGAGGCGCAACCCTGATGATTAGCCTTCCGATCAACAAGCATCCCTTGTGGGCCCACGTCTTACCGTTTCTTCAAGATTTCAATTAACCCCATCTTGGTCAGATCACTGCCATTCACCACCTGCTTGAACTCTTCCAGCTGCTCCGGCGGCAACGTTCGCTTTGTCCTCCCAGCTGTCAGAACAGCCAGGGTGCCCCCGTCCGCTCCCGGCCCACTCCCGGTCGGTTTGTGTGAGGATGACGAGGATGGGTGCCCCATGAAGGCATGGAGCGTCGAGCGCCCCAAACCACCAGCCGCCTGCGCTGGCTCCGCGGCGGCCTTCGGTTTCTGCCAGTAGGCTGTGGAGAACGGGTCAATAGGGAAGGTCACCGAGTCGGAAATGGTCTCCATCTTGTACGCCTGCAGCTCCGGGTCCACGCCATGTTCCTGCCATCGTATACCAGTGCTGACGGGTTCTAGGTCCCCGACGATATGACGCCTCTTGCCATCAATCGGATGGTCCTCCTCGTCATCCAGGAAGCCATCCATGTCATCCTCTCCATCTTCACTCCCTTCCTCTTCTTCCTCTGAATCCAGATCCTCGCCTTCCTCGGGCTCTTCCCACTCAGCTTCCGAGTCGTAGTCATAGTTCGTCTCCGGCAGCCCGCGGCGAAAGGGATTGCGCATCAACCGGCGGACGGATGACTCCGGTAGGCTCTTGCTATAGGTTCCCTGATATGGAGGCCGAACATCCTCACTGAATTTAAGTGATTTCATTCTCACTTGTCTCAGAAGATCGCGAGCTCTCTGGGCAGCTTCGGAGGTCTCTGACTGATCCGCAAGGTTCTGCATCTGTAAGAGGATTTGTTTAACTGAAGCGGGCAACCTTCCACGCCGTCGCTGGTATGGCATGAGCTGGAAGAGCTCGGAAGGACGAAATATTGCAGGCTCATGCTTGCCATCCTTGGCATCTTTCAAGTAGGCATCAACTTTCTCCTGCGTATGCTGCAGAGCTTCGTTGTCGCGCTGGAACCTGTGCGGTGGCGCAAATGTGGTATGCGACTGGAGGAAGAACTCTGGAAACTCGCGCTGGTAGTCAGATACAGTCGATCCGGAGTCAGGAGAGGGGTCATTCGAAGCGCCAGCGCCAGTAGTTTTGCTAGGAGAGAGGGTCGTGTTCGATGAGGATGGTTGCGCCGGGGTTTTCGGTTTCGCAAAAAAGGAGTTCAGCTTCATTTGCGCCTGTTGCGTGTTAGATACCTGAATTCTGCATTCAGCCAGAACAAATTCAAACTCACTCTTTCTTTCTTTAGCTTCTCTTCCTCTTTCTTCAACTTCTCTTCCTCCTTCTTTCGCTTCTCTTCCTCTTTGGCAGCCTTTTCCTCCTCCTTCGCCTTCCGTTTCTCTTCCTTCTTCTTGCGCTCCTCTTCCTTTTCCGCTTCGCGCTTCTTCTTCTCCTCTTCCTTAGCTCGCTTCTCTTCTTCTTTTACCCGCTTCTCCTCTTCCTTCTCAGCCTCCCGTTTCCTCTTTTCCTCCTCTTTTTTAGCCTTCTCTTCTTCCTTCTTGGCCTTCTCTTCCTCCTTCTTAGCTTTCTCCTCCAGTTTCTGCCGCTCTTTGGCCTCCTTCTCCTGTTGCTTCGCCTCCTTACTGGCAGGCGACAACTTCCTCTTCTTCGCAGCCGGAGCAGTAGTCGTAGTGGCCGTCGAATCTCCAACGACTGTAGTCTTCTTCTCGTCCCCAGGAGCACATGATTTCACTTGTGTATCCCGATTCTCCTTGTTATCATCTGTATCGACACGAGCATCTCCATCAACCTTCATCTCCACATCCGTAGTTGTGTTCGCATTCGTATCATCCCCCACTTTCGCAGCAGCCGTATCCCCATCGACATCCCCTATCGAGCGTTTCCTCGCCGGCGACCCAGACATAGAGATAGACGCGGGGTAGGTATTCGTATCCGATGGAGGAGATGATAGTGACGATAAGGACGAGCCAGCAGACGAGTGTGGCGAAGATGCAGGAGCAGGATTAGGAGGAGCGGTGGCGGTAGCAGTATCTGTCGACATGGCGGTACTTTCCGTTCCCGGGATGGTGTATGGTGGAATGAGCCGCGATAAGGATGAAAAAGACGGTGAATGACCTTATTGACGACTCAATGGACAATGAAACGATAATCTAATCATCCAGCGGAGAAGTGTAAGGCTGAGGCTGTATGTGGGTGGGTATCAAGAAGAAGGATGAGACAAAGGAGTATGATAACGATAAAAATAAATGGCACCTATTAAACTCCCCAATTCACAACTCAGTCAGTCTATCATCGTAACTTAATCACTTTGATGAATATATCCCAGAGTGCGCGCGCATGCACAACCTCGTGCTGGGGTACTTTGCAAGGGTTGATTTGAGCTCACATCAGTGGCCAATAACCAGCCAGGTAGGTTTCAGGGTCATGAGAGGAAAATGAGCGGAAAGTATTAGGAGTGAAGTGAGGAAAGCCGGTGATCCAGGAGAGTGATCGATTGATGGGTCTCTTTCTGGCCGGCTGGACCGTGAGCTAGTTAGTTAGGTTAGGGGTCGTGCAAAGTGATAGACAGACAAGACAAGAAAGACAGGCAACAATCGAGGCGGAGATTCCAGGCGTGGGAGAGGGAATCTTGGCGTCTGGTGAGCCTGCCAGGTTGCCCGAAACGCGTTGTTAATTGATGTTCGCGACTGGGATTTCGCGTCCCGCACGTGTATTGGATTATGTAAGGACCCCCCTAGTTCACGACCACTAGATTTCTTAGCCCACCTTAGTTCATCTATCTATATCGCTGGAGCTTTGCATGCAGAGTTCCTGTCTGTTAGATGTTGAATTTGAGTCTATTCGATGGTTGTACTGAGTGCGAAGCTACTAGTTTATTGGTTCACTATGCGCTGACTCCGCCTTAAGTCCGTGCAAACCTACAACAGCTCTCCTTAACACCGTCTACTTCGCTATTGCGATCAATGTGGTGATATGTACAATAGTATTATTATTACTTTGCTCATAAATCCATCGGACGCCAATTTGGTGCAAGGGGTGCGAGTTCAAGTAGCAAGCAACCCTTACAGCACAGCAAAAAGCGCCAATAACATGCGGTGAGGGGAATAGAACAAGTTCAAGTCAATCAGTTGAGGGGCATCTTGCCGTCGTAGAGCAAATCAAGGCTGGAGGGCATTGCAGGATCGTTGCACCAGACATGGGATCCAAGCCCGAGTTTGCAGGACGAGAGTTTAGGAAAAGAAAGGAAAGAAGCGTAGAGCTCGAATTCGACACAGACTGCGTAGTCGATGCAGTGCCAAATATCAGTGTATGTGAAAGGAATAAGCCCAGTAACGAACAAGCTGCAACTCTAATCACTCAAATCGGGGTTCGCCACGAAAAGCCGGACATTGGTCATGGACGTCGTTCGATCATCGACACTGCCTCGGCGCCGCAGTTCATCCGCCTTCTTCGCCTTATCGATCGCCGCAGAAGCCGCACTTGGTGCGGCCATGTCACTCACGGTGCCAAAGTACTCTTCGTGCTCACTACCAAAACTGTTTGTAGTAGCAGCATCATCCTTAATGGAGGCGTGGTCCTGCTCGGCTTCGTGGCTTTCCGCTGGTGGGTGCTCAGAGACATCGGGGAGGTCGGTCTTCTCATTAGGAGGCGTACTGGTGCTCCCCATCGTGCTCTGCGGAGTACGTTGGTAGCCACTGGGATAGCGAGAATTGCTACCCAGAGAACTGCGACCGCTACCGGTCCGGCGATAAGGGAAGCCTCGGTCACTGTGTGCATCCTCATCTGCATCACCGACCTCGTTCGCACTGAGTCGAACCGGGACAGTAGCGCCGACGAGTGTCGAGGGGGAGAAATCAGTGGTTCCCTTGCCGCCGTGCTTGTTCTTGCCGCTTCCAAGGGTGCCCGTGCGCCCGGCGCCTGCGCCGTGGACTTCCAGGTACGCCCGCTTCTTATCGACCAGCTTCTGCGCCCGTATCCGAGGATCCTCGGGCTGTGCCCGGTCACACCACACTGTCGCTTTTTGTCTCCGCATCAGAGCCACATAACCCAGCTGAGCATTTGCGGAGCGGGACGAAGTGCTGCGGCGAATATCTGTCTGTGGGTTACCGCCGTAGTTAACATTGCCGGTGGAGGTCGTAGATGTGGTCGCACTCGATAACCGCCTGGAAGGGGGGTAATTGGGTGGACCGGTCATCGTATGATGTGGTGAGGGTCCCGCAGAGTATGCCTGCTGCTGTTGTGCCATGTAGGGTAACACATGGGAGGAAGAGGTTCGCCGGCGGTTGTGCGCAAGGGAGGCGGCCGATGGATGGGGAGAAAGCTGCTGGTGGTGAGGCCCGTCATAGGCCTGGTAGGGAAAGCCGGAATGCATTCCGGCAACTGGTTTGCGAGCCGGCGGCGGCTGATGATGCATTGGGAGTCGATAGTCGGTCATGCTGGGCTGTTGTAGCTGCACACCAGCCATCTAGGCAGAGCTCGATCGGTAAACGAGGGGGGAGACGAGGAACTGTGGTGACGGTTCCCACTGCGGGCGGTGGCGGGAGATTGCAGGGGTAGCCACAGAGATAGATGAAACAAGATTGTAGTGAAGCGTCGACCAGTGATCCCCGCGATTTCTGGACAGGAAAGGGAAAGTCGTAGATCGTGTGGGAGAGTGGTTTTTGAGGATCAATGAGCGGCCAGCGGCTGGGTTGTCGTACCGGACAGGCAACCGAATCCGAGGCGCGAAGAAAGGGAGAGGGACCGACCCAGCTGATACAATGGGAATGTGGTATCGGCGCTAGAATAGAAACGGCCTCTACCAAGAGATTGCAAGCGCTTCAGAAGAGGCGGGCGCTTGAGTTGTTAGGGAGAGAGAGAGAGAGAAGAGGGGAGTGAATAAGATGACGCTGGCAGTGGTAGTGTTGGAGTAGCGGTGCTGAGAGAGTGCAAGACGCAGCAGACAAACAGACTCGCTCAGTCACTCATGCACACGAGGGCTGGCAGTTGGCGGGTACCCAATATTACCAAGTCACACCTGCAGGGGACATTGATAAAGCCGTGACCCGGGCACTACTTTAAGACCGACGCTTAACAGAAGGTACTAAGGAAGTAGTAGTAGCAGCAGCAGCAGCAGCAACAATAGTAGTAGGAGACGGTGCTGACGCCCGGAATCCAACCACACAAGTCACTCACACACAGTCACTTTTCAGTGTCTCTGTCTTGTGATAAGAGTTATCTCTGACAGTAATTGATCACAAGGCGATCGAGGCAGACCAGGTAAATAAAGCAATGAAAAGAGGGAAGAGAAAGAGAGGCGGGGTTGAAAGGACTGGAGACGAGCGAAATGAAGGGAAAATGAACGAACGGTTGAACAACGGACTTTGGAGGCGATCGATCGGGAAAAGAAGATGGGAGAAAAGAAAGAGGAGCGTGAACTTTGGTTCTGAAAAACCCAGTTGTGACCGTCAGACGGGGTGGTACCGAATACGACCCTCCGGTACAAGGTACCATTGATACCGCCCCTTACGGAACCCCAGGCAAACAATGGAAAGTACCTGCACAGCCACAGATGCACCAGGGATGGATGGGCCCTGTAGACAAGGAAATGCAGGCAATCGACCCAGAGAGCTACGAATCTACCCTAAAGGGAGCTTGGGAAGCTCCCTGTCTCCTTTTGATTTGCGCTGTCTATCTTCCGATGTCTCAAAAGCAACACCTTGTTAGCGCGCGATAAGCTGTAAGACAGGATCGTCAGGAGACATCATCTTACTGCGCCACACCACGCACGTGGGCCAGGAAGGGTATCATTGATACATAGACGATACCGGCCAGTGATACCGCACTAGGCAATCGCGGGAGATACCGTCGGTCGATGATACGGTACCTTACTACCACAAGGAACCGGATTGTACCAAAACCAGACAGCAGCAAATTAATGACGTCTATTACCCCACTGCTGAAACATCCGGAAGGCCGGCAGCACTGCAATTCTTTCTGATGATTTGGGGCTGAGGAGATGGGGAAGGACAAGATAGAGGAATTGTTTCACTGAGGTAGTCATGCATTGACGTATAACGGGCGCAGGAAGGCAAACCGAAGACGGTCAGAGGGGATCGGAGTGACCGGTTAGGCCGAGAGGTAGGGAGGCGAGAGAGGGAGAGAGAGAGAAGGGGGGTAGGTAGTAACTCTACACTACAGTTGGTTGCATTCGATCAAGGTACTTACAAAGTACTACTAGTTACTACCGGGGAGACTCGTAAGCACAGGAAGTACTTCTTCTTCTACAGTTGGTACAGTTGGTAAAAGTGGGTATTATTCCACAGGTATTCAAGCAGTCTCTGTTCATAAAAGAGAGATTTTCTTGCTCACAAATTACCGCAGCCGGATACATCTCCAGGCAACCCTTTACTAGTATTGCATAAAAAGTACTACTTTGTACTCTTGTGAACCAGGGATGGAGACAGGGTGGAACCTCCCATACCGGGAAGGGGGGGGGGGGGGGGGGGGGGGTACTTTGCTAGCGACAAAGTAGATACTTTAGTAACTTTACTTGAAGTGGTACCTTTCCAAAACGGAGACGAGTTCCGCGGCGTAACCGAAGGGGGGGAAGGAAAAGGAAAGGGAAAGTGACGTGACGATGACTGCGAGAAAAAGTTGCAACTTTCGCACTTGCACGAGACTAAACTAGTCCCGACTAGTCCGAACTGTTACGGCCCCCCCGCAATCCTACTAGAAGGAAAAGGAAAGAAAGAAAGAAAAGTATGTTACATCCGGGCGCTGGCTGTAACGCTCATTCCCCAACCGGGATCCATTGTTCAGCTAGCCATCGTCGTCGCTGTCTCTCTCCCTCCCCTCATGCTGGCATGGCATGCAATTTCTCTCGGCTCTTCTCCGTTGCTTATGCCAATCGCAGCGAGAATGGAGACCACGCTGTCATGCACACTAGTCGCTATGCACGTTGGATCAGATCAACTGCATGTCGCTACGGAATGCCCGGTGGCCTTTGCCTAATCTTACCAACAACACAACAACAGTATACCGAATCCGGCTCGGGTGGCTCTGGTGCTTGTGCATCGCATCGTTGGCAAATGAGCAATTTACCCAAGGTGCAGACGGGATGAGCCTCCACTCATCGCTGGTCTTCGTCCTCGTCCGTGGTTCAACTGAAACAAAGCCATTATTATCGCTAGGGTTGAAATTCAATATGACTGGACATTATTAGTATTGACTTGTGTCTAACCAAGTGCCACTGTCGGGATTTGCCGTTGATCAATCTCCCCAAACATAGCTATCTACTCGTCAATGACACCATGGTGGATATGTTAAGGTTCAAATGTTGTGCGGTTGACCCTCGTCGGCTACTTGCTTATTCGCCAGTTCGTCAAGCTGCTCAGCCTTACGCCACTCTCCAAGCCTCATCGACCCAGGGCCTGATCAAACTCAACGTGCATTTTTGGAACATGGCCTCGTATCGCGTCGACACCGTTGCGCGAAATACAGTACCACCGTTGCTATCAGAGCTTCGCTTTGCCGTCCGGTAGCTTCACTAGCGCTCCATCGCGCCTGACATCATAATCGCGGCCTTTCTTCCACCCCAGCCATGTTTTGAGTGTCTCTTCGCCCCCAGTGCCAGGTATCAGGCCACCCCCGGTCCAGCCTCCGTCGTCGGCCGGAATCGGGAGCCCGGGAGTTTCCACTAGATGGACGACGGGCCGTTGCTCATAGCCACTTTCCTCGAGCTCATCTTGTTCCAACACAGGTGTGGCGCAGGCATCTGTCCCATCGAATACGGCCTCCCACTCCGCCCGAGTCTTTTCTTTGAACCGCTTAGCGAAGGCAGCCCGCAGCGCAGGCCAGTTGTCCTTGTTATCCCGCGGCGGAAGCTCTTCGGGGTTCAATTCGAGCCCCTTCAACAGAGCATCGTAAAACTGCGGCTCCAACGCACCCACTGCGAAATACTTTCCCTTGTCCTTGGTTTCGTATGTGTCGTAAAACGGGCTGCCTCCGTCCAGCGTATTCTGACCGCGAGGCGCATCCCAGAAGGGCGTTTGTCTGCCCAACCGTGGCATTGCAGCCAAATACGCAGAGCCGTCAACCATGTTTGCCTCGACGACCTGGCCGCGTCCGGTGTGCGTGCGCGAGATCAATGCCAACAGAATCCCCAAGAAGCATGTGGCACCTCCACCAGCAAAATCACCCAGGAGGTTGAGTGGTGGGTAAGGGCGTTCTCCCGACCGACCTATCATAGACAGTACCCCCGCCACAGCAATGTAGTTGATGTCGTGACCCGCCATATCCTTGTATTTGCCATCGCGACGGAAACCCGTCAAACGAGCCACAATCAATCGGGGGTTATGTTTCAGAAGCACCTCCGACGGCGACAAGCCCAGTCGCTCCAAAACACCGGGACGATATGGATCAATCAGGACATCGGCGTCCTTGAGGACGGAGAGGAGCACTCGATGGGAGTCGGGGTCTCGGAGGTCAATGGTAGCGGACGTTTTCCTGCGAGTCAACTGGTCGGCGCTCTTAGCTTTCGGTCGGTCGATTCGCAATACAGAGGCTCCATAGTCGGCAAGTAGTAGTCCGGTGAAGGGGCCTGTGTAGACGTCATGTCAGTATGCGGAGAGGCGTCTCCGAGGCAGGGGGTATGGCAGACGAACCGGGGGCTAGGCCAGCCAGCTCGACCACACGGAGTCCATCGAGAGGAGCGGGCATTTTGTAAACCAAATTGGATAACTCAGATATGTACTGACAAGAATAGCAGCGATGAGATAAGTTGTAGCACTGCCAGCAGCGCGATGGTTGATACTTGGATTGCTGGGTGATCCAGACAGCGGCTTTGCTTCTCCGCAGCCGAGGTCCGGGGCACGTGCGGGGAACCTCACCACACTCCAATACAAGCTGGACTTGTGTAGCTTGTGCAACTAATATGACTCCATTGAGTTTATTACTCGCTCGGTCTTTATCCCCATGCTACAAATATAAGATGAACGCATATTGTACCTTCTGTCTGGGGTATGTGAACGGGTTTGCGTCCCGTGCTTTGGCTTCCTAGCTGGGTGAATCAACTAGATCTGTCTTCTTTCCAACCACAGCTTAATCCATCCTCGGAAGATAATCTCAGCCGAGAGTCATTATGGCAGAGTACATCTTAATCGTCGAAGAGCTGAACTGTATGAATTATACAGTAGTCGGGATCACAGAGATACATGGAATCAAAAGTTCACCACAACAATGTGGATCTGAAGAATGTACTTGTGCTCCGCTGCGTTGTATAGCGTATGCTATCAGTTACTATCTGTATCATCCAGAGGAGAATATCAGTTGCAACGCTTTCCTTTTAAGATGAATTACCATTGAATAGCAGTTCTCTTGTACTTCGGAAGATAGCTCCAGCTCTCTACACCAAGTATAATTATCTCAGATGCAACATCGAGTAATTCTGTAATCAACTCAATTGACAAAATATGTTTATAACCCAACAAATAGGACCAAACTAATATGATAAAAGATCATCCGATCTACCAACTATCCTCACGACCCTCATACTTGCCCTCATCATACGCATCCTCCATATTATCACCGAAGCGCTCCACAGATCCGACCTTCTCGCCAGCCCATCCGGCCACATCCTCAGGGATTTCCTCGACATCATCAACAGCGTTGTCCCATTTGCGCTCGATGCGATCGGGGATCTCTTCGACTTCACCGACCTATTACCATCATCGACATCAGTAAAAAGCAACAAAACAGGAAGTCCTCGTGCAGGGATCAAACTCACCTTCTCACCCGTCCATCTAGCCGCATCCTCAGGGAAGTCCTCCACATCTTCCTTAATATCCTCCTTGTCTTCCTCCCATTTATCATCTAATGCAACCACAATATTAGCCACATCCATCCACACCTCCTACTCATAGAGTACTCTGTAGACAGAAAAAAGGGAAAAGAAAACTCACGAATCATCTCCCCCCCAACAACCGCCGCTCCACCAAGCAACACTCCGGCACCAACACCCAGCGCCATATTGCGTCGACTGTGGTCAGGGCGCTGTTGCTGCTGTTCACCATAGTATCCACCTTCCTGACGGGACTCGTAGCCACCACCATATCCTCCCTCCTGGCGGCCATAACCCTCACCACCACCGCCATAACCGCCGCCGTATCCGCCCTCCTGGCGTCCATAGCCCTCACCACCGCCGTAGCCACCACCATAGCCGCTGCCACCGCCGTATCCTCCCTCTTGACGACCGTAGGATTCTTGACGGCCATAGCCCTCACCACCTCCGTAGCCACCGCCGCCGTAAGACTCCTGACGACTGTAGGACTCTTGACGACCGTAGGACTCGCCGCCATATCCACCACTGCCGTAGGATTCCTGACGACCGTAGGATTCGCTCTGGTAGGATTGTTGCTGTTGTTGGGAAGAGGAGGAGCCGCCGCCGCCGCCACCGAATTTCTTTTCGATGACTTCTTCGGCCATGTTCTTGAGGAAGTCCATTTTGGGTGGAGTTTCTTTTGTGGATAGGGGAGGGGTAGTAGAGTAGAGTAGAGGAAAGTAAAGTGGGATGAGTAGTGTATGTCAAAGTAGAAGAAGAGAAGAAATAAAAGTGGGAAAGAAAAGGCCAACAAAACTACTTATAGTCTTCTTAGTACTACTGTAATAATAAATAATAATCACGACCCCCAAAAATAAAGATAAAGTGGGGTCCGATCCGATAGGAGATATACACATTACACACAAAGATAGATGATAGTTAGTTAGTTACTTAGTTAGTAGAGATAGTCTACTAAAGTTACTAAATGTGGCATGAATTGTGGCTGTTCACTACTTAGGTGGGCAAATTCAGGAGAATTGCCTACTTCGTACTAGAAAAGTAAGACACAAAAAGAGGGGCAAGGGTCCCTCTCATTGTTCGTTCTCCAATCTCGGCTGTTTCATTTTAGCAAATCCACCCAGTGCACCCACCCATAATAACTCTCTCACTTAGTCTACCAGTTCCATTTTCAGTTCCTGTTCAGGGGGGAGGAGGGAAGGGAAGGGAAAGAGGGGCAGGCCAAGAAATGATTGATTGACTGGTTTGAGTATGTGACTGACTTGATCATCCCATGCTAATTTACCCCAGTGGTGGTAGTGGTGGCTATGCTCCCGGTGATCGATTGTGGCTTGGTCACTCACTCCGTGCATCATTAATCATGGCGGTGTTTTGTTTTTTTCTGATATGCATGGATTAATTTTAGTGCGGTATGGTATCATCGTATCTACTTATACAGTAAGTAGTATGTATTGTATTACTAGTTATGAACTGGAATACAAAACTACTCAACATCTTGCGATTAATACGCAGAGGAAACAGTCCTCTTGCGCTGCTCATCACTTCCTTCATCCGGCTTAGCTGCCCCGGGGGGCCGAAGTTCACCTTAGCCTATCGTTGTGCCATGCGGTGGTCGATGACCTTGGGGGGGCCAGGCCATGGCCACACACACCATCTTTCTCAAGGTCAGATGGGCATCAGGCATCAATCGACCGTGTCTAGACACAGTCACGGACGACTTGTCTTCCACTCAAAAAAGCCTGAGAGAAAGTTTGAAACCACGGCTGAAACTTCAGGGTCTCGAGATCCATCGTACAACGCATCACTTCCCCCCTCCATATCACGCCTTGGCACATCCGGATCGTCCCGTCTTGGCTGATCTTGGCTGCCTGGGGCATTACTGGGATTCCATATGTTTTGATTCCTTTGTGGATTTGAAAGAATGGCATTTTGTTTATGGCTAAGTAATATACTGGTCGTAAAGTGTACAGCTAGATCGCTGGGAGAATGAAAGTTAAATACATGACAGAGGGTAAGGTGGTAGTATCATCCTGAGATTAAGCATTACATCCCAAGCACTTGGTCCAAGTGACTTGTGGGTTCTCATGGCGAAAGTATTTCGTAAGCTAGGAAGCACGTCGTCTAGATGGCTGCCAAGAGGAACAGCGCAAACGCTGACACTGCACCTGCACCGTGTTGCAGTTGTGACACCCGTGAAGCCGCGCCCGTGAATACGGGCGACACGCCGGCGGCCGTGCCGCTGGGAGCGACAGGCACTCGGGATCCGCTCTGGGATGGCTGGATATGGAAGGTCGATGAGGCACGGACGCTGCCGGTTCCAAGAACTACCGGCTGGCTGGTTGACGATTGGCTCGGGGCCACAATGACCGTCGCAGTCGTGGTGGGGGCTGTTGACGCGGGGGCTGTAGGGGCTGTAGGTGCACTTTGGCCGGGCGAGCTCTCTCCGGTAGACTGACTGCCGGAAGGATTGGCAGTCAAAGCATCAACACCTGTGGCAGCGCCGACGGGAACCGTGACCGTGACTGTGGTAGGTGTAGGACCACAATCGGTACAGACACTGACCGTAGTGGTCCAGTCTCCAGGAGAGATCGGTGCGCTGGTCGAGGACGCCAGCCCTGACGGCCGATCGGTGGCCGGCAAAGTAAGAGTGACAGTAGTCGGTGTGGGAGCGCAGTGAGTGCATACGGTCACAGTCGTCGTCCAGCCCTCAGGGACGCTAGGACTAGTGATCTGCGCTGGAGCGCCGGGAGGGTTGGTGACGGTGGCTGTGGCAGACGCCGTTGCAGGACAGTAAGTAGTGGTATAAGTCGTGGTGATCGTGGTGAACCCTTCGGGGCAGATGTCAATGTAAGAAGTCACAATGACCGTGGTAGTGATGGTGGGCTCCGAGCCGCTGGACGTGACCGAAGGTACCGCCGGGGCCGATGTGATGCTGGAAGTAATCGGAGCGAGTCCACTACCGTTGCCGGTTGGTACACCAGTTGGAACGGTAGTTGCGCCGTCTGTTTGTCTTGAAGCGCTGCCCAAGGGAGTCGAGTACGATGAGGAAAAGGTGCTGGCGTGATCAGTAGACTTTGTGCTGTCCTGAGCACCCGAGCCATTTGCAGCGGCACCGGAGGTTGAGGTGCTGGCTGCTCCCGAGCTGCCCGAAGAAACGGAAGTTGTTTTCGCTCCAGTCTGGCCTGATGCTGAGCTAGCAGACTCGGTGCTCGACGTTACTTCACTACCAGACGAGGACGAGCTGTCAGAAGGCACCGATGGGATGGTGGTAACAACGGAGCTGGTGGAGCTTGACGCATGAGGGGCGCCGGATGAGGTCACCGATGTAACCACCGATCCCGAGGAGGTCGTCTCCACCGAAGAAGCAGAAGTGCGTGTTGAAGCATCTGTGCTCGACGTGTTGATGGAGCTTGACACGGTGGGACTACCCGGTCCGCTTGACGAGGAAGTAGCAGACACGATTGTTGTTTCCGAAACAGATGCGATGGACGTACCAGAGGGAACAACTGGAAAGCTTGACCTGGTCGACACTCCAGGGACCACACTGGACGAGGAACCCACGCTGGATCCTACAACAGAACTTGAAGAGACCGGCTCGGCAGAGCTGACAGGTGAGCTTGACAGTAACGGTGTGCTAGACGGATGTGACAGGGTAGATGATGGAACGCCGGTCCCAGCGGGAGTGCTGGAAGAGGGCAATGACCCAGAAGAACTGGTGAAAGTCGCATTGATCGTGGAGGACGGCTTTGAAATAACAGGAACACTGGATGACTTTCCTGGGGCAACAGATGAAGTTGAACGGACAGGCGTGCTTGAAGGAGTGAGGGGAATGGCTGAGCTGCTTGGCACCACAGGGTTGCTGGAGGTGTGAGTGCTCGACAGGGCCGGTGAGCTGGAATGAAGCAGAGTGCTCGACCTTACAATGGAGCTCGAAGGAATGGGAGAGCTCGATGCAACGGCAGAACTGGCAGCCGAGCTTGGAATGATGGGGGTCTTTGATGCAGACGGGCTGCTTGATATGGCAGGAGTGCTCGATATCACAGGAGAACTCGAGACAGCAGGGCTGCTTGATACCGCAGGGGTGCTTGACACAACAGGGGAGCTGGATGCAATAGCAGAGCTAGAGACAACGGGAGTGTTGGACGCCACAGGGGTGCTGACCGCCGGAGTACTGGAAACAATGGCAGAGCTAGATGCTGCTGGCTTGCTAGACACAATAGCAGAGCTGGACGCAATAGCGGATCCAGATGCAGTAGCAGAGCTAGAGACAGCGGGAGCGCTGGATGCCAAAGGGGTGCTGACCGCCGGGGTGCTGGAAACGATAGCAGAGCTAGATGCTGCCGGTTTGCTTGACACAATAGGAGAGCTGGAGGCAATAACAGAGCTGGAGGCCACCGGTGTGTTAGATGTAACAGCAGAGCTGGAGGGAACAACAGGGCTAGAGGCAACCGGGGAGCTGGGGACAATCGGTGAGCTGGAAGCACCAGCGGCACTGGTGGTCACGGGCGCGCTGCTTGCCACTGGAGTGCTGGAGGCAATAGCAGTGCTGGATGGAACTGAAGAGCTGGACGCCACAGGGCTTGATGCGATAGGGCTGCTTGACGCAGAGACGCTGCTCGATGCCACTGGAGTACTTGAAGTCTCGGCAGTACTTGAAACCGCGGAAGAGCTGGTCACAGCAGTGCTTGATGGGACTGGACTGCTTGACGGAACCGTGGTGAATGAAGCAGGAACGCTTGATGCAACAGGAGTACTCGAGGCCACAGGTGTGCTTGAGGCTATGACGCTGCTAGACGAAGGGCTGGGAACCGGTGGCGAAGGATCAACTGCAACCAGGATGTCTTTGATCAAGTCGGCGAATGTGAGCCCATTGAACGTATTCTCATCCGAAGCGGTTGCTTCCCAAAGCATGATACCTCCAAACGTCTCCGGGTAGAGGTTCATATACACATTCACCAGAGGATAGACTTCCTCCGGGGTCAGGTAGTATCCAGTTCCTGCTGCAGCGGGACCGGCAGGCAATCCCACATAGAGCTTTGCGTCCGGGTTGGCTCCACGCTTGATGACATCCACCCAGTCGTCAAAGTTGAAGCCGGTGCTGACACCATTGATAGAGTCACTAGCGGCACAGCCAGCAGTGTTATAGAATTGCACCCAAACGAAGTCAAAGGGGGATTGGGCAATCGCATCACTGAGTTGAGGGTCGGGTATCGGGCATTGGGGGGCACCAGAGATGTAAAAGGTACGCTCCGGGACCAAGGCGAAAAGCTCTCTGAACCGATTGACCATAGTCGCATATCCTGCTCACGATTAGCGGTGGTGCAGATTAATAACAAGAGTTTACGGGCAGAGAGACATACCAAAACCGCCGTTGTGCTCGATGTCGAAATCGAACCCATCGACAACAACGTCACCAAAAGGACGAGGGCCATCATTCGACACCCATTCCTCCGTCTGCGGACCGAAGGCACCCCAGAGGAAATCGGCGAATTGGACAGCAGAGGCATCTGACAAAATCTGCTGGTTATCGGGAGAGGCACCACCGAGGGACAGGAAAACCTTCTTTCCTGCTTCCTGGCAGATGGGAATATCTTCTGCAATTTGGTGACAACCAGAAAGAAGCTCCGTTGAGACGCCGTCAACTTCATATGTTAGGCCATCACACTGATTGCCGAAGTTACTACCCGGCCACCCGGCAGGTCCCTGGTCCGGGAAAGTATTGATGAAGCCAATGTTGATAATATCCAACGAAGTTTCCTGGCAGAAGTGGCTCAATCTTTGTTGACCATATCCTTGACCCTGGAGACAGATAAGTACAAGTCAGTATTGTTAAGTGGGCGATTGAGTGGTCGGAACATACGTAGTAGACGGCAACGTTGGACTTTGCCTGGGCATCGAAAGCAGACACAAAAGGAGTGAGACCGGCTACCGCCGCAGCGATGGTGAGAGGCTTGAACACCATGTCGAAGGAGTGGCAACTGGCAGGCGTAAAGAAGCCGCAAGCCAGTAAGGAAACCTTGGTGATTCAACGAAAGGACGCAGACAAATGTCTGCTACTAAGGAGTGTCTCCGCAAATGAACGTCGAAGAATGAGGCACTGGTGAGAGAACCAGTGGGCAGGGAGGGTATATAACATTATAGGAGATAGGCGTTTTGGGGGGTCAGCGAAGCCCATTGCATCTTCCTAGTCATTAGCTCCAATATCCCAAATACAAAGTTCATCCAACGAGCACAACCGAAATTATCATGCGGATGATATGGCTTGGCAAGTGCAACCGGACAATCAGGCGATGGAGAAAGTACTCCATTCTTGTGCTAGCAGCAGGGAATATTGAAGCTAACGAGGCGCTTGATACGGGAGCACCAGGGGTCACCGGCCAGAAGAGGGCGTGACTGGATCCGGAGGATGGAAGATTTGAGGGCCGACATTACGCTCAAGGCAACAGCAGGCATCCGAGCACCCTGATTGAGTAAATGCCTGGTGTAGAGCCGCATCAGGGTCCGACTATTATGGTTAGTCTCGGTCGAAATGGACAACAAGAGGCAAAAGCGATATACACTACTCACAACGTTTAGGCTCTGGCGGTGCTTGAATTATAGCCTAAGTGGAGAAAGAGAAAGTAGTGCTTCATAGTCGAATGTAGCCTCGATAAAAGGTGGATATGAAGTGAGCAGAGATCAATTTTCTGGACGGATAGAGGCCGGAAGATGAGAGATGGATGGAGATAGCGAGGTGGGAATGGATGGCTTCCATGGACCTGGAGGCCTGCCTGGAGGGGAGCTAGTCTAGTCCTGGACCCTGCGGTGGGCGCGATCCTGGTATTGTGGTGACAATACCGTGTCCGTGTTATGTTTTATCCCCAGTTAGGGTTAGTGTCCATGTGGAAGTAGCTTGATCGGGACTAGCTAGGGGTCTCTGGTGGAACGCTGGTGGTCAGGAACACCAATCATAGAATCGGGATATAGAGCCTGACAGGCCACTGGTCAGGCTGGGAAACGTCCGGGCTAAACTTTGGGCTCCAATGTCTTACCTTCGCCTCTCGCCTTCTGATTGTTGTGATGGCGAGAAATGAAAAGTCAAATCATTAGACCGGACCCACGGAACGGCTCTTCTCCGTTGCTTAAGGCTCTCGGAGTTGACCGGATCATCCGATCGACAATCAGGAACTATTACTGTACAGAGTTGTGCAACTGCCAGTCGCTTGTTTTATGTTATGGGCGGATGTTCAATTCAGAAGCAGAAATAGTTGAGCCCGAATGAAAAATGAGAAATCTGACATGACAGTGTTCTGAAGGAACGCCACCGACGAATATCCTCCTTAGCCGACAGTCCATTGGTCTTTTTTTCTCCTGGTCCAAATAATCACACTTTGACTAGATACTTTTGTAGTCGACCCATCCACCAGCCAGATACCCCACTAGGCCTCAAGCGGACTCCGGCCGACCACGGACCTTCCTGGCTACATGGGCCAGTGTACCTGTTCGTACAGAGGGGAACCACTGGGGGTAATGGATTGGTGATTAGTAGCTTCCACTATAACCAGGCGTTAAGCGACGTCGGAGTCATGCATCGGAAAACCGGAAATTGCACCTTTGATACTGCTCCTCTGAAGGGGTTAGCGTGCTGCAATCTGGCGAGAAGTGGAAATGAACGGTCACAGAGCCTTATGGCCAGGGCCGTCGGATGTCCCAGCAATTCCCCGTTGTCTCTCAAAATCCATTGGTCGGTGGATACCACACCTATAAGGAACATAGACACAGAGTACGGTGTGAGGCATTTATCCGTACCAAAAGTCTCACAGGGCTGGGATTGCTACTTTCAATCCGGTTGTGTCTCTCCACGTCTATGATCTCGTTCTCTCAGAGAGGCTTGTTTGTAAGACAGGCCAAGCATATGTTGTTTTCCTGGCTGTGACTATACTCGCGTACTACACCGGGGAACAGTATGAAACCCCCGAGGATGACAAAACTAAAAGCTTGCAGGAATCTTTGTGCAATGGCATCGCCCTAGCTTGGCCAGAGACACAGTGGCATGTCATAATAATCCGTGTTGCACCGACAATCAACTCCTGCTGGGGAAGAAGTGAAAGCCATATACAAACTAGCTACGGTTAGAGGCTGCGCCAACCTGCATCCTGACAGAGGAGAACCAAGCACACAGAAGGAGGAACAGGTATACAGCTACAATGCTGAAGCTGGGATGGCAATCTACCCAAGAAGGGGTCGACAATCCATGTGCTGCAGGGTAGCTAGGTTACACCTGCAGCAAAGGGTGCCACGTTACACGCCGTTAGCTACATGTGTCACAAAGGGACAGCGTGGGACAGAAGCTCCAGTAAATTTCCGTGACCTTTGGTTCATAATCCGATACGCATTCCAATGGACCTGGTCGAGGATAGCTCACTGCGCTATACTTACCCTAAGATATAGTGGCTACTAGTACGTTCCTGCCACCCTCCTTATGAAATGGCCAAGAGTGAGTTCGACATGTGGACAGTCATAGCATATGAGCATACTGATTAGTTCTATTTCAGGGTATCCCTGTTGCTTCTCCCTAAGACTTCGTCCAAAATACCTCCGTCAGTAGATCGCACATCAAAGTAATAGACCGTTTCCCCTCCTTTAACACAGCGTCCATAGCCAAGAATGGATGAGGCATGCCCTTCATAACCTGCAAATCCACCTGAACGCCAGCCTGCTTCAACCTTTCGGAATACTGTTCTCCCTCCGTTCGCAGCACATCCAGCTCACCCACCATGACTAAAGCCCGGGGCAGGGCAGACCAATCGCCCGTCCAGAACAAGGGGCTCGCCTCAGGGTTGTCCCAATCCTTTTGATTCGGCAGATAGTGGTTCCGATACCAGAGCATCTTTGCTGCGGGAAGGGCCGGTGTATGCTCGTACTCCCTATAGGCACGGTTCGTTTCCACGCTGGCCGTGTTATCCGTCACCGGTACGGAGAGCAGCTGTGCCTTGAAGTGAACAGGAGGCGACAGTGTCAGGGCTTTCTGGGTGATTATGCAGGCCAGGTTTCCACCCGCTGATGATCCACCGGTCGCGATCTTGCTGATATCGATGGGAAGTTGAGAAGGTCCTTGGGAAGTCAACCAGAGGAGAGCCTCCCAGCAGTCGTGGACGGCAGCGGGCCAGGGATGCTCAGGTGCGAGGCTTTCGAAAAATATCTTGTCAGTTCATTCCATCCAGCTCAATTGCATGCAGAGACTCTCGAAATAGATACATACCGGTAATCCACCGTCAATACGACACAGCGACCCCTCACACAGAGATTCGAGCAGACTGGATTCTCCGTGTCAATGTTTCCCAGCACCCATCCACCGCCATGGAAATACAGCATGACCGGCCATCCGGATGCCGGCGCAGTGCCTTCTGGCACAAACACTCGCACAGGGACTTCTGGGCCCTCTGTGACGCGACGTGGAAGACAAAGGTCAATGGTCTGCCCAACAGGTAGAACGGGACCCCCGCCTGGGATCAGGACGCCGCTCGATCGCGAGGCCGCAACAGGCTGCAGATGGACCTGCTGCTGTTTCATCACATACTGGTTGTAGAATGCGACATATTCGGGATCGAGTTTGTCTTGCACCGAGGGGTGGAGGGGGTATGGGGGTTGAGGATTGGTAAGGGACATGATGAAAGTGGTAAGTCACAGATCGATTGATTTCACTCTTTACAGATTGAAGGTCTCTGTTGTGTTCGAAGAAGGAAAGAAAAGGAGTTGGTAACTCTATCCTATCTATCTGACAATCAATGCCAGCCTCCATGTTGTATTCCTCGGTTACATCGCGGTCAGTGTCCGAGCGCAAGGGATCAACGAGGGGATGCATTCCGGCTCGACTTTCCTGTTTGTGTTCCTTTCCCCTCACGGCTGGTTGATGATCCTGATAACGAGGAACTTCCTTAGTAACCCGCGATAAGAGAGACCCTTCCAGTTCCGTCCCCTCACCTTTCCCCACCCCCACCACTAAATCACTGACAGCTCCAGTGGTAGCGAGGCGAGCAAAAAGGCAGGCGATGACTTTTTCGTAATCGTACCTGTATCGAAACTGGGAGTTACCTACCCGCGTAAGAGGGGGTTTGTAGTAGTAATGACTCATGGATGCTGTCTAGTTAACTAAGTGCTGTTAATTTGTATGATATATATAACTTACCGGCACCAGGAGAATCCATCATACTACCTCCTTCAAGCACAATCAATAAGGCCGAACAACTTCACCAACCCCAACATCAATCACTTGAACAAAAAACAAGATAATCACACCAAAATGGCCACCAAAACCCCCATCACAACCGACAAAGCCCCCAAGGCCCTCCCCGGCATCTATTCCCAAGCCATCGTCTCCAACGGCGTCGTCTACTGCTCCGGCTCGGTGGCTATGGACGCAGAAACGGGCAAGATCATTGATGGCGATATCAAAGCGCACACGGTACATACATAATTATCATCCATCATTTCTTCCTCACACCAGTAATTCTACAACATCCGCTAATGCATTGAATCGCTGGGGAAAATAGCACCAATGCATCAAAAACCTCGGAAACGTTCTCGAAGCCGCCGGTAGTGATCTCACCAAGGTTCTCAAGGTTACTGTGTTCTTGTCGAATATGGATGACTTTGCCGAGATGAACTCTGTCTATGTGCAGTACTGGGGGGATGTTAAGCCTTGTCGGACGTGAGTTTATTCTTCTCTTTTCTTTTTTCCCCTTGCTCTGTTTCTGTGTGGGTTTTATGGATGTGGGGGAGGGTTAAGTAGGCATTGGGATGTAAGAGTATGTATGGCTGACTGATACTGATTGGGTGGGTAGATGCGTGGCGGTTAAGACTTTACCCCTGAATACGGATATTGAGATTGAGTGTATTGCTCATCAGTAGAGGATATATATAAATATATCTGGTGATGAATGTGCCTGGTCGGGGAAACAAAAATTATACCAGCATCATTATTTTCAAATCGGCGCTTGTTGACCGAAATCCTCAAAAATGTATAATGTATATAGAAAATCTACAGAAAAACGGAAGCGATGAATGCGACTCTGCCCATAGAGTATCCAGAAACATGTGAGCAAGCTCGACTCCACAAATACCTCAACCGCCCAGCAGACTGTAGCCTAGATAATGGAGAATGATATCGCTGCTCAATAGTCTCCGAAATACTTCTGGCGAGTTCGTTCCATTGCTAGTTCGTTCGGCATAGGCGTAATGAATTTATCAATTTCATTGATCCAAAACGAGTTTTGAGGATTGACTTGGCAAGCTGTAGTATATTCCCAGTAAGATGGATACCAGCCCGCAGTTTCCCAGTCGACAATTCCAACAATCGTATCCCCACGGGCCAGAATATTGAGGCTACTGAGATCACCATGTGTGAATGCGATAGGAAAAGATTTATCATGTTGTCTGATCAACTCTTGTACTTCTGGATCAAGCCTTGGATCGAAATCCATCCCACCTCGCAAATGTCGATGGAATTCCTGGACACTGGGAAAGGGCCCAAAACGTAGGGAATTGCCCGGCACACGGCAATCGTAGAGTGACCCGTCCACAACAGAGCCCACACCCATTCCTGCTGGGGGTAAGAGTCTTCGCATCTCTTCGATCATATCCTTCAACTGAGTAAGAATCTTTGCCTTTGACTCTTCACTGCGATAAACCCATCCGGCACCAATGTAGTTCCCTTTGATTCTTTCCATCACTATGTAGGTGCAATTCCGATGTGTAAAGGTGCAGAGGACTTTGGGAACTGGTATGGATGTGTTTTGTGAAATAAAACGCATAGTGACCGCCTCTGTCAAGTCTACGAGTTTCCCGTATTTGACACAGATCCGATCTGTCAGCATCAGAACGCTTCCTTCGAAGGGGCGTATTTTCCGGAGAGTTGCAATCGCAAAGAGGATGAGATGCTTGTACAAGGCGCTGTCGTTGATTGGACCCAGCTTTGGGGCATCGGACATTCTGAGTATGCAGATCGGGGAAAAGCCCCGTCCAGCTGATTATAAGGTCGACCGATCTGGGTTCGCCTGTGGTTGAGTGGTGAACTGTGGAAAGCGAATTGGAAAGCACTGAACACGTGATGGCCATGGCGTTTACTAGTAATAAAGTAATTATAGGGTCTCATCAAACATCTACATCGACAACGCAATTATGGGTCACTGTAACTAGTGCAGGTACTATAGTCATTAGGTCCAGTAGAATAATATGCCTAGAGATTACAAGCAATTGAACTACTTGCCCAATAACGATAGGTATCGGAAGAGTAAGATTCCCCAAGAATGTTGCAGCCTACTCTCAGAAAATACAGTAGGACCCTACAGCATCACTGCTTGACCAAATACGCGTATAGGAGTCTCAACAAACACGAACTCAAAGAGTAAACAATAAACACAAACATTAACCTTCCCGCGCGCGCGCCGTCCGTCCGCCCGAACCATCATCGAGTTTGGGGCTTTAATTAAAAATGAACAATGCGGTGGGACTGATAAAGCCCGGAATGTAGCCGGTTTGGGGCAAGTTTCACGCCTTCAGCTCCCACAAGAGAGGACTTGGCATGTGGGAGAATTCCAGTGGATCCCTCTTTCGGATGAGCGTCACGTTGATAGTATGCACTGATTATGGTACTTGCATACTAGCAGTATTATGACCAGCTATTCGTTATCTTTTGGTATTCTGTTGTTTTGCTATAAATAAACGTCATATGGAGGACTCTTTATAGGCAGCCACAAATTCCAGATGTGCTTAACGATACCTCATATGTGGTAACATGTTTTGTCAACAAATAAAGTACTCGAATTGTAGATTGGGGGTGCATGAGTCGGAAAGATGTATTAGGAAGCTTGTTGAAGAAATGGAGTGACGGAGGATACCAGTGGTCTTGGTCAGGATAGCAGGAGATCTTCGACGATATGAACTGTTGGTGTGAGCTGTATAGTAGTTGTAATGGGTGTAGTATCGAAAGATATATATTGCCCACTAGTAGTATATAAGTATGACTTCCACCATGCACGCGATTTCTGGCCTGACATTTCAGGATTTGATCAGAACATGCTAATGACTTCAGAAACATTGAATATCCTATAACTCTGGCCTGTCAGTTCCATGAATACTATGAAAAATATGTGATGAGGGCGCACATCACAGCATATACATATGGTATAACACTCTATACGAAGCAGCCGGGATATGGACGAGCACTCTCACACTTGGAAAATATGCTGTAGATAGATTATAGTCCTTAGAGCCCAGCGATAAAAATAGTCAACGGGAACATGTTCAGGCCATTCGTCGAGAGCATAGTGCTAGATTGCCGAATGGTGAGAGTGGATAGCGCCAGGTGAGATTCAGCTCCACCTCTTCCGTTATTTATGAATATCATATCTCCAAAATGAACGCCTACCGGGTGCTCTGCATTCAATCTGAGTAATGTAAATAGCACTACAGGAGATGACCAATTATAGATCAGTTTCGGAGGCCTCAATGCATGGATCGTCTAGGGTTTATAAACGCAGGAGATGACGCCATAGCGTTAATGAACCACCTGCACACCACCCTGCTGGCCCAAATCATTTAGAACAATAGGGAACGCATTTTACTGGTATGAAGTGACTCAGGGAGGAGAGTAATCGGTTCCTGTTCCCAGCCCTTCATGCTTCTGTTTGTCGGCGTTACTTGGTTGCCCTTATAAATAAACTTGTAGTAGGGTCTTTCCTTGCAGAAACCTCACCAGAGGGGAAAGGAGGCAAAATAAGTAGGATGGGACGAGGGACAGAAGGGAAGAGAGGAGAAAAGGCGAGGAAGTTGGAGCGAGTGACTCCCTGTGAGTCTGCTGCCCATCACGTGTCCCATCCCTTTCTCGCCTTCAACCACATCACGGCGATGGAGTCCCCTTCGGCTCTCCGCTCATCCCTAGCCTTATCTATCTGCAGCCCTGGATTCTGCATCGCATCCTGCATTCTATACTTGACCGCTCTGTCTCACTACGTGCGCCCACTTTAGCTTTGACAACCCGCGTTTACCACGCGATGATGACGCTGGGATTCAATCGCGGTTTTCTCAAGGAGAAAATTCGCCTTATTACCCACACACAGGGCTAACACTCGATCCCTGATGGAACATAATTGCAATTGAATCCCAAGGATGTGCATAATACCTCCGATGACTAACACTCAACAGGAGAATACTAGGGGCAAACTATGGTAGTCGCGCGATGGTCCAATGGCCGCGGATGCCCGTTTAGTGTGCATTCCTCAAGGACAGCTCTCCCATATCAGGCAGTGACAACAAACACCACAGGCCATATTCCAACCAATTCCCTATTCTGCTAGTGGGCATGCCTCGGAATCGCCCATTCCAACCCCTCGGGCCTCCGCGTTCACGCGCGAGGCCTTTCATTCAGCATATACATCCTTTTAGTCGGCCATCGCCCATTGTTTTGCTTCTCTTCCATTGTTTCCCCGTCGCGTTTACCACCCACATGTTCTTTATGGGCTGCACCTACCTATTCTTTCCGACACATCGATTTCTATCATCACTAACCTCTCAGACCACTGGATGCTTGGCGAGTTCTGTTAACCAAAGCCGTTGCGCAGCTGGTTCCAGCTACTCTCGACGCGGTCCATCATGTTCAACCGTTCGATAGCCTCCCCAAAAGGAGGCGTTTGGACCAAGGTAGTGATATTCATCTCCTTATATGTCATGCTCTTCGACTCCTTCATTGAATGGGCCATCGTGCTTTATCTGTATGGGATCCGACGTGTGGACTCAAAGATGACCCCGAGCTTGGTACTGGCTCTTGTCGCGGTAAGTCTGCCTTGACCTGGACGGCTGGTAAATATGCTGACGGACACTAGTCATTCTTCACCGTTCCTCTTGTCGCTCTCCACAGCCTCCTTGCCTGGCAATACAATAAGGTTGTAGGATTCGCGAGTCAGAAAGCTTTGCTGAATGCCGCTTGTACCTACATCCTGCGACTGACGATACTCATTTGGATCGCAGCCAGCGCAGCAGGATTAGTCGTGGTTTCGCAGCAGGTGTACTGTCTAGCGGATGATGGTGGTGGTGACTTCTGGAAGATCGGTATCAGCTGCGCGCTTCAACGGGCTTCTGTCATTGTTTCTATAATATCATTGTAGGTCTGCTGGACCCAGTTTTCGATGTGTTTACTGACTCGCAGCAGCGTGACTGTGTGTCTTTTCTTCTGCTCAAGGGAACTCTGCGAGCGTCCGTACGACATATCCCTTCTCGGGGTGTACAAGCCACAATTATCGACATGCGATGACAAGATGTCTGCCAGCTCAACGATGGGAAGCCACGTCAGTCTGGAAAATGACATATATCACGTTTGCCGCAGGCCTGATGTGACATTTGGGAGAGACTTGTACCTGTCATCAAGCAGCAACTCCATTTGCAAAGCTGGTAGTATTGAACATCCTGCATCCGTACATGAGAAACCCCATTTGAAGCTCGACACCAAATGTGAATCAGAGGGCTCAGGCATATACTCTGGAACTACACTCTCCGTTGATGGCACGCCATCCAAGAATTCTTCCAGGGATGGAACAAACTCCGAAGTCAGTTCAAATTTCTCAGTTACACCTCCCAAAGCCACGTTAAGGGCTCCTTACGACCCTCATCGTCAGGCTGTACTGGCAGAACTCCCGGGATCCCCACAGTTCAGACATCAAAGGCACCAACCCTCTGGATCCCCTTTCCGACTCCTCCCCAAGGTTTTCGCAAGTCAGATCTCGTTGTCATCGGACCCTGACATTCTTGCTCTCGCTGGTCCCGATGCTGTTGCGGACGTTGAGCAACTAGCAGAGGAGCACTCAACAGACAACATCGAGCCACCGCCGACTCCCAAAAGGGAATATGCCCCTGGACACCCACTGGCATCTTCCCCTGTGGAACTTCCATTCCCCTCCTCTCCTCCTGTGGAGAGGTCTATATTTTCCATGACGACCAGTAACCCTGAGCTTAAAACCAGTCGGTCCGAAGGAAGCACGCTTCCACGATCAATATCAAGCAGCTCAGCTGATGCCCCCGAAGTTGTCGCACCAGAGCCACTCAGGGTTCAGAGATCCAAGACGTCACACACAGCTCCAATAACTAGCCAGTACAACTTCTCTCGGCCCAAACCCCCGGCCGTACCGCCGATCCCACCACGGCAGCCGAATCACAGCTACCATGGCTCTCTATCGCAGCACGGACGATCCAGACGCCAAAACTCAATTCGTTCGAGCGGACGACGAAGCCAAGTCTACCGGTTTGAAGCATGCCAGATCCCGCGACACACACAAAGCCAGTATCATCCCCAGCAAAGCCGCTACGCTCGTCGATCGTATTTTGACACCCACCGTCGAATGCCCTCACGGCGGCGTCGAAACGACGTCGAAATCGTGTACTCCAGCACCCGGCGGCCCCGCAGCAACACCTGTGGAGGGTTCGGCACAACATCCAGTCTAGACTGTATCCGCGAGTCTGGGGCCTCTGTTGATGAACCGGAAGACATCTTCGCTGATGGCAACACGTATAGAGGTACCACGCGAACTACTAGTGCCCACGGCATGTACGCATTTTGAACTGAAGTCTGCGGGTCGGACTGGCTATGATTTAATCGGCTCTATTATCACGTTCTTATTGGCTCATGATTGATATAAAATGTATACTAGCACGCTTATTTTTTTCCTTTGTTTACCCTTCTTGCCATATACTATTTGTTTGAATACTATTACGATTTTATTATTCTGCTTACTAGTTTCTCTGTACTATGCAATCATCATATATTATACTCTTTTTTGATCAATTGAAATGTAGGATCAGATTAACTACCGTCTTATGTACGTCTCAACCCGACCATTCGGAAACAACCCCAAACGCCACAGGACATGAAACTAGAGCCATACCCCCTTATACAACACACAACACAACACCGGCACCTCCAGCCCAACCGTTTGTAAATGTATATACCCGAGACACCATAGAAGACCCCAGTCCTAGATAGTAATGCCGCAATCCCACAAGATTAGCAAGTAGGTAGGCCAGACAAACGAACAAACAAACAAACAATGACCAGATCCACAAGAAGGCAATCAGCCAGAGAAACCATAGGGTCCAGATGAACTAAGCTAGCTAAGCTGCTCAAGCTCTCTTCGACCCCGACCGAGACTGCGACGACTTCGTCTTCACCTCTCCATCCACCCCGGTAGCATATTTATACCGATACGCCTGCCTCTTCCTCCCCTTCTCATCGATAGTCACATTCTCCTTATCATTTTCCTTGACACTCCCCATTTCCTTCTCACCCCACGACCACATCAACGCACGACTCATCCTCTCACGCTCCTTGAGCAGGAGATCCACGCGTCGCTGCCACTCCTTCTCGCGCTTCTCGACGGACCGCGCGATGCGTTCGTCGACTGCAGCGGCCGTTTCGTCCTTCGTGGCGATGATGGATTCGAGGTGCTCGATCTTGGTTCTCTGCGCGCGGAGTTCGGTGTGATGCCGGTCGCGCAGGGTGAGGATGTGCGCTTTGAGTTTGGTTTCGCGGTTGGTGGTGCTGGTGAGGAGGGTTTGGAGGTTGGTGTTGGTGGCGCGGAGGGCGGTGAGTTCGGTTTGGAGGGTTTGGATTTGGGTTGTGGATGGGGAGGTGGATGTGGATTGGGGTTGGTGTTGGTGGGTGTTTGTTGGAGGGGATGGGGGTGGGCTGAGTTGCTGTTGGGTGGCTGTTTGGAGGTCTTCTTGTTCCTTCTTGAGACGAGTGATGGTTTCCAGGGCCCGCGTGCGTTCTTCGTTGGCTTGGGATAGCTCTTGTTGGGCTTTGTCGAGGGAGGATTTGAGCTCGTCGGCGCGTTTGGTTAGGCGTGTGTTTTCGGTTTCGATGGAGTGGATGAGGGTTTGTGCTTCGGTGGCTTGGTCTTGCGAGCGGGTCAGTTGTAGCTCGAGGGTTGTTTTCGCCGAGGTGGCTTCTGCTAGTTCGGTTTGGAGCTTTAATAGTTCTTCGTGGAAGTGTTTGAGTTCGAAGTCTTGGGACGTGTCTTGGTCCTGGGGGAGTTTATCCTTGGCGAAGGGATCTGGTGTGCGTCGAACGCTGGGCTGGCCGAGGTCTTTGATCAGTTCCAGGATCTCAGTGTAGGTGTTGCCCGTCTCTAGCGGGAGGTCCGCTGCCATGGCTTTGAGAGCATTTTCTTGCGCAGTGACTTGCGATTGTGCGCGGGTCAGATCGGCTTCCAGCGTGCTGTTCTTCTCTTCTAATGGTCGGTTCTTGGTTTCTAGAGAGGCGATTCTTTCCTCAAGTGTCTCGTATGCCTGGTTGACACGGTCAAGCTCCCCTTCCAGCTTTTCGACCTCTAGTAGGTTGTCGCTGACCTGGGCTTTGAGGCCATCGATTTCGCTATTCTTCTCCCGGAGCTGCTGCTCCTTGGCGGTTGTAACCTCCTTCAGCTTGGCCATTGTCTCGTCCAAGGTTGCGTCGCGCTTTCGCAGCTGCTCCTGAGCCAGGTCCAATTGCTGGCGCAGATAGGCGATCGTTTCTAGGCGTTCGGTGTCGATGTCGGGGTGCGAGCTTCGACTCTGCAGCTCTTTCTGCATGTCACTCATCTGCTTTTGCAAAGTGCCCAGCTCGGACGCGTTCATGGTAGACTTCTGGAGGAAGGACTCTTTCTCCTGGTTTTGTTTTTGTAAAAGCTGGATTTGCTCACGCAGGAGTGTCTCGTCGCTGCGCTTAGCGTACAGCTCTTCGAGCAGTTTCGACTTTCTCTGTAGCTCCCCTTGTAGGTGCTTGATTTGCTCTCCTGCAGAGGCTGCCTCCAAAACACGCCTGTGGTTCCTTTCCAGTTGTTCATCACGCTCGCGCAGCGCATCCTTAAGCTCTGCAATCTGCCGGCGCAGATCCTCGGTTACATCTTTCTCATTCTTACTGGAAGTGCGCTTGTGCTTGCGAACGGAGGGTGTAGTTGTAGTCGCTTCCATCTCATCATCCGGATCTTCTTCAATATTTTCGAGATGGGTTATATCTTTCCCGAGTCCGCCGGCCCGACGTAGCAGGTGCGACGGGGTAGACATGTCGACAGGAGGCCCAAATTCACTGTATCCGCTGACCTCCGGCTCATCTTCAACAGCTGGTTGGTGCAATTGAGAGTTGTTCTGGGAGTCTTCCTGCTGCTGGGGTTGTTTCGCTTCTTGTCTCTGGATCTGTGGCTGGGATTGCGGCTGGGGAAGTTCGTCCTGCAGCTCCAGCTCGGGTTCTGACTCGTGCTCAGCATCGGAATGGAGCTCTGGCTCGAACAGGTCGCGCTCCATGTGGTCTATGCTGAAATGTTTGTGATCCATGGTATCATCCTCCCCCATGAGATACTTCTCCAAATTGGCAGTAAAGTCATCCGGACCACCGACGTCGGACAAGTTGTCCTCATGTGGCAGTCTCAACTCCTCCAGAGGCTCCTCATCCAGCGCGTGGTTGCTCGGAAACTGGCTGAAGTCGACTGTGTACTGCGCCAGACGGGCATCGATCTCGTTCGCGGCGCGCTCGAGAGAGGACGCTCTGGAGGATTTGGGGGAGCGGCGTTGCGGCGAACGCGCGTCATCGAGGTCTGCGCCGGTCGCGCCGTGCGAACTAAAACGGAAGCTTTTTGTGCTGACCGGAGAATAGCTCTCTCCCTGGTCGGGATGAGACGGTGGCGATGAAGGCATGAAGAGGGGAGTTGCCAGCGTGGACGCGCCGACGGTGTCGTGGGAAGTCGTGTCCATGACGGCGGAAACGATTGGGATTGTTTATTGATCAGGGTAACATATGCGATAAGATCGGTCACAACTTCACGTCCCAATCAGGCACATCATCGATTCTTCGGAGAATAGGGGTGGTGGATAAATGAGCCGATAAGGATAGGCGATCGAGAGGGAAAATGCGCGTCAGTTAAAGACTAGTCAATTGCTTTGAATGGGAGAAAGAGTGGAAGATGGATGGAGGATCCCGTCAAACATGGCAGCCCCAGGCAGGCAGGAACCGCAATTGGCCCGTCCTTGCTGGCCTGCATCCTCAGGCAGAAAGAGCCGCGAAAGCCCAATGAGGATTAGCGCGATCTAGGTAGCTCCGCATTGGGATCCACCGAGACTATATTTACTTAGTGATTTACTACATAAATAGATATGAAGTAGAACGATAATGGCATGAGGACCAAGAGATTATGACAGAGAATAGAAGGATAAGACTAATGGAGTACATACGGAGATAGATTTACAGAAAACGTGCTCAATGCCTTTGCGCAGAAGAAGTGAGTTGCGGAGCTCCCTGAACTGCTTCAATCTACAGAGTACACAGAAGTGAATCTTAAGCATGTCCATTCATTTCACCCACAGTGTGGTATCAAACTGACAGATAGTGACGAAGAGAATAGTATATACGATTATTTATTTGTTATACAACAAGTATACTAAGCGTCCAGAGTGACCAGTTGGTGATTGTTTTGGTGTTGATGGCCAACAAAGTCGGTGATGCTGACATAATCACATAGAAGGTGACACAGAAAAAGAGTCTCCAACAGAGCGCATGATCAAAGCAAGACCTCTTCAGTTAGGATTCACTGCATATGCTTGCCATGAAGGGTTGTTTTCATGCAGCCTTTTGATCTCTTCCGATTTGGCTGCAGGTCGGGTTTCACATCCATCCCAACTGATAGGCGAGACCTGAACGGCTAATCAGTGGGCCATTCATTGACGGATTACGCATGGCTCCCATTCCCCGCTGAAACCATCAGAGAGCGCCATTGCGCGCATCCTACACACTCTTGCTCTTCTTTTATACCAGCAAGTGATTTAATCCTCCTCTTGAGGGCCAAATTCAAAGATGCCTCCCGTGTCTCCGCAACCCGAGCGCCCTCGGGTGATCCTCTATCATCAGACGATCTGTCCTGATGGCCAGTACTGCTCCATGCTGCCGCTGCTGGACAACAATACTGGCGTCACCCACATCATCCTGGCCGCTTTTCACCTCAATGCCGATCCACAGCACATTACTCTCAATAATGATCCCCCTCATATGCCGCTGTATGAACCGCTGTGGGCCGAAGTGCCCGCCGTGAAGCAGAGCGGGGTTCGTGTCATGGGACTCCTGGGAGGCGCGGCGCAGGGCTCATTCCGCTGCCTGGACGGTGATGAGGAGAGATTTGAACTGTACTACCAACCCTTGCGGGACATGGTGCGGCGCCATGAACTGGACGGGCTGGATCTGGATGTGGAGGAAGAGATGTCGTTGTCGGGCATTATCCGGCTGATCGACCGGCTCAAGCTCGACATGGGCGACGACTTCATCATTACGTTGGCCCCAGTGGCGGCGGCCATGTTGGGTATGGGCAATCTGTCCGGCTTCGACTATCGCGAGCTAGAGCGACAGCGAGCCTCCAAAATAAGCTGGTATAATACCCAGTTTTATAATGGTTGGGGCCACCCAGACGACCCTCGGATGTATGCTACCATGATTGCACAGGGCTGGGCCCCGAACCGGGTGGTGTACGGGCTGTTGACGAATCCCGGGAATGGATCGCAGGGCTATGTACCACTGGAAAAGATCGGGCCGATCCTAGGT